CCCTGTGTGCCCCAAACCCATCCCACACCCTCCCCACTGCTCCCCTGGTACCTGGGGGAGTGGAACACCCTCCTGAGCCTCCTGTGCCCCCAGGCACGGGCACTGCTGCTGCTGGAGGACCGCACGCTGAAGCTGGTGGACCCCCAGGACCGGGCCCTGCTGCATGCACAGCCCGTGGGCGGCATCCGCGTGTGGGGCGTGGGGCGGCATGGCAGCAGGTGGGGGGCACGGGTGGGGTTGGGGCACGGGGATGCCCACGAGTGTGGAGCTTGAGGTGGCACTGGTGTCCGGTGTAGAGGGCACGGGGTTCTGGTGTCTGCAGAGGCTGGGGATCCTGTGTACGTGGGGTGCAGGGATGGGGGGATCGCCGTGTGTGGGACCCCCATGGGGCTTGGAGGTCCCACACCATGTGGGGTGGGGGCTCTGGAATCCCATGTATGTGGGGCTGGGGGCCGTGGGGCTGGGGTCCCCGCATGGGTGAGCTGTGGGGGTCACGTGCACAGGGCTGGGAGGTCCCACATGGGGATGTGGTCCTGTGGGTTGGGCAGGTGGGGGCCATGGGGTCCCAACACCGAGCCCCCTGCAGAGAAGGGTGTGTGGCAGGAACAGATCTCCTCGGGGGTGAGGGCTGGGGCCTGGGGCTTGGGAGGAGGGGCCCCATGCCCCCCCAGCACCCCCTAACCCTGCTCTGTCCCACTGTGCTGCCGGGAATAAGGGAGAGGTACGGCTCCAACCTGCCCCCAGACCCCCAGTGCCCCCCAGCCCGGCCCGGACTGGGTGGGGAGGGGACCGGGGTGGTCCTGAGCACACTCTGCTCCCCTCAGGGACTTCGCATACGTGGCCCGGGACCCCCTGACGCAGGTGCTGAAGTGCCACGTGTTCCGCTGCGAGGGGCCCGCCAGCGCCGTCGCCGCCGGCCTGCACCGTGTCTGTGCTCAGGTGAGACCCCCCAGACCTGCCCAGGACCCCTCAAACTGCCCCCGTGGCCTGCACCATGTCTGTGCCTAAGTGAGACCCCCCCCTAAATTCCCACGGGACTCCCCCACTCTGGCCGGCACTGGTTCTGTGTCCAGGTAAAACCCTCCCAACCCTCTGCTGGGCTTCGCCCCAAACTGCCACCTTGGCCTGGGCTGCAGGCCCCCTGAGATGAGACCCCCAAAAAGCCCCTGAGAACCCCTCACCTGACCTGCACCAGGTCTGGACCCAGGTGAGACACCCCCAAGACCCCCCCCAGGCCCAGGTAACCCACCCCAAATTCCCCTTCCTTGGCCTGCACCACGTCTGTGCCCAGGTGAGACCCCCAGAAACCCGCCAGGACTTGCCCTAGCCTGCACATCTGCACACAGGTGAGACCTCCAGGCCCCTCCAGCCGGCCCCTAGGGGTGAGCCCCTGCCCACCCCAGCGTCCCCACAGACCTGCCACAGGGCCCAGGGATCCCTGAGGGTCCCTGTGGGTGCCCAGGGTATGACGGCCAGGAGGGCTGGGGGTGCCCCTTGTGTGACAGCTGGGGGACTGTGGGTCACCACGGGGGTCCCTGGAGGTCACTGGTGTGACATCCGGGAGGGCCCTGTCCCCCTGTGCCCCAGCTGACGGCGGAGCGGCGAAGTGCGCGGGCAGCAGGCAGTGGCCTGGGGACAGACGCGCCCCGGCTGGGGGAGCCTCCCCTGCAGGGTACGGGGTTAGGGGTACCTCTGAGAGAACTGGGGGGGCTCTGGGAGTCTGGGGGTCACTGGGAAGGGCTGGAGGACTGCTGGGGGATAGGGTGGCTGCAGGGGAGGGGGCTTATGGGTCTGGAGGTTGCATTCGCTGGGGGAGGGCAGTTGGAAGGGAGTGGCTTTTAGGGAGGTTTAGGGGGTGTCCCACAATGTCCTCCACCACAGTAGGGCTCGTGGCCCCCAAGAGCAAGGCGGCACAGTTGAGGGTGTTGGGAGCTCTGGGGGTGCTCTGGGGGAGTGTTGGGGTGCTCTGGGGGGTACTTGAAGGGCTCTGGGGAGGTCTGCCATGTCCCCCACGCACTGCAGTGCCCAGGGTGCAAGAGGTCTTGGGGGGTTGGGGTGCTGGGTGAGCAGTGAGGGATGGGGAAGGGTTCTGGAGGGATGTTGGGGCTCTGGGGTGTTTGGGGGTCTCTGGGGGTGTCTGACAGCACCTCCCCCACAGTGGAGTTCCCAGCCCCCAAGAGTGAGGTGGTTCAGCGCTTCCCCGTGTGTTACCTGGGCTGTGTCCCTGTGGCCAAGCCAGTGGGTGAGTGGGGGACTTGAGGGGAAGGGGGAGTGTCTCGGGGGGCTCCTCCGGCCCATGTGCAGCAGCTGTGGGGCGAGGGCACCCCCAGAGATGCCCTGAGCCTCCCTGTGCCCCCCAGGCATGGATGTGATCAACGCAGCACTGGAGGCGGCGCTGGCCCCTGGCTCAGGGGAGCCGCCTGCGCCCACCCCCGTGGTGGTCAGTGTGGCCCCCGCCACCCTCACCATCGCTCACCGCCAGGTGCGTGCCCTCCTTGGACCCCCTCCCCTGGCACCCCCACCTACGCCCACCCTCCCAGTCACCAGGTGCATCCCCAGCTCGGACCACTACCCTGGGGGGCTGCGGTGACCCTGTCCCACTCTGGGCAGATGTGTTGACCCCCATCCTCACTGGTGACCCCTTCCTGTTCTGGGGTTTGAGTGACTCTATCACGCGCCAGTGGGCTACAGAGACCCACTTTTGCAGCAGGGAGCCACCACGGCTCCTTCCATGGTGTCCCCATCCCACCACATCCCGTGGGGCCTTGGGGAACCCCCTCCCAGCCCCAGGGATTCACAGTGACATTCCATGTGCCCTGCTGGCCCTGTCCCCATCCTGGGGGTGTCTCGCCGCCCCTCTGCCTATCGTGTGGGTGCCCTGGTGACCCCTTCCCCTTGCCACGGGTGCCCCGATGCCCGCTGCTTCTCCTCCCGTGGTGCCCGAGCTGTGGGTGACCCCCGTGCCCCCAGACAGAGGCGGTGCTGTGCGAGTGCCGCGTGCGGTTCCTGTCCTTCATGGGGGTGGGACGCGACGTCCGCGCCTTCGCCTTCATCATGGCCAGCGCCCCCGGCACCTTCCGCTGCCACATGGTGTGGTGCGAGCCCAACGCCGCGGGGCTCAGCGAGGCGCTGCAGGCCGCCTGCGTGGTGAGTGGCACCCCCGGCCCCCCCCGGGCCGCCCCCGGCCCCGCTGACCCCCTCGCTCCCCGCAGCTCCGCTACCAGAAGTGCCTGGATGCGCGGCCCCAGGCCTCCAGCTCCTGCCTGCCGGCCCCCCCGGCCGACTCGGTGGCGCGGCGGGTGGGCTCCTCTGTGCGCCGAGGGGTGCAGACCCTCCTGGGGACCCTCAAACCGCGGCGGGGAGGGGCGCAGACCCCGTGAGTGGGGCGAGGGCGTGGGGGGCACGTGGCTGGGCAAGGCAGCGTCGGGGGCAGGACCGCAGACCCAACGCTCCGGGGTGCAGAGTTACCCAGGGTGTTGGGTTCGGGGTCCTGCCCCCAACCACTGCCCCCACGGTGGGTCGCGCCCCCCCCAAGGTCCCCAATGCATGTGGTGTAACGAGGGTCTGTGTTGTACTAAATCATTAATTAATAAACCCATTCCACCAGCCCGGCTTGGCTGCATTTGGCCTCACACAGGGAGGAGCAGCAAGAGCAGGAGGATGAGGGTGCTGGGTCTGTTTGGGTCTTCTTTGGATGGCAGTGAAGAGAGGCAGTGGGGCCCATCCACACCTTATTAGGGGGGCGATGGGAGTACAGGGATCATGAGCTGATCCCAATTGTGATCCTAGTGGGTGACAATCAGGACAAGGAGGTGGGGTGGTGGGGCCCCAGCATCCCTGATTTGGGTCTCCCTAAGCTGCTGTGGCTGAGAATTGCAGTGAGGAGGATGAAGGACACTGTGGTCCATCACACCTGTACGGGGGGTGATGGGAGTGTGAGGACTATGTGCTGATCCTGATCCCAGTTCCAGTCCTAGTGGAGAGGATTAGGAGGGGAGGTGGTGTCTGTTGTGTCTTTATTGTGTAAGTGGTGGGACATGGGGACCACGTGCCAATCCCAGCCTTGCTCCCAGTGACCTTGTACCAATCCCGCTCCCAGCCCCACTCCTGTGTGACCTGTGCTGGCTACAATCTTGCTGCCTGTGTAACCCTGTCCCTGCCCTGCTTCCACTTAGGCCACTGCTGACCCTGCTCCTGGTGTGACCATATCCCGGGAGCTCCCGGTGTGACCACATCTTGGGAGCTCTTGGTGTCACCGTGTCCCGGGAGCTCCCGGTATCACCATGTCCCAGGAGCTCCCACTGTGACCATGTCCCAGCCCCTGCTCCTGCTGGCCCCTGGCTCAGCAGAGCCGCCGCTGCTGCCAGAGCTCCTGGATGCGCGGGAAGGGCAGCGCGGGGCGCAGGGGCCGGCAGAGCGCGGGGTCGGCGGCGCGGCCGGAGCGCAGGGCGCAGAGCAGGGCGGCCTTGCAGGGGCCGCCGCAGGGCTCGCGGGGCGGGTGCCCCTTGTGCAGGTGGAACCAGAAGAGCTGGAAGAGCGGCTCGTCGTCCTGCATGCGCCGCACCAGCTGGTCCCAGTCGGCGGGGAAGGCCGCGGGCAGCCCGTAGGCCTCGCGCGCGCCGTAGAGCCGCCGCCAGCGCGGGGCAGTGCCCGGCGGCGCCGCGTTGGCCTCCGTCAGGTTTAGGATGAAGGTCTCGTGGTCCAGGACCGCGTGGGAGCTGCCGGGGTAGGAGCCGGCCACCTCGTACACGCGGTACCCTGCAGCGGGAGGGATGGTCAGCGCTGGGGACTGGCCTGGCTCGGGGGGACGCGCGGCGGGGCTGGGGCCGCACCGGGATTGAGGTTGATGTAGGTGGTGACACTTGGCGCGACGAAGGCGATGGAGACAGGACGTGTCAGCGTCTCCTCATCGTAGAACAACTCGAACTCGTCCAGATGCGTGTGCCCGAAAAACTGCGCCGCGATGGTGCCCTCGAACCTGCCAGGGTGGGTGAGCAGGGGTGGCATCCCCAGAGCCTCAGCCTGGAACCCCAACCCGGGCCTGGCCCTGAGGTCCGGTATGTGGGGTGGGGGTGTGGGATACATGGGGTGGGGGTCTGGCACACGGGGCGGGCAGTCTGGTGCACGGGATGTCACACAGAGAGAGAGCCCAGGCTGTGCGGTAAAGTCTGCTGCAGAGGTCCAGCATATGGGGCAGGGGTCTGTCGTGTAGGGCAGGGGGACCATGTGTGGGATGGGAGTTCAGGGTGTGGAGCCAGGCTCTGGCTTGTGGGGGTTCTGGTGTGGGGGACAAGGGCACACGGACAGGGGTCCAGCACATGGGGCTGGAGGCCAGGGCATGGAATGAGGGTCTGGCATGTGGGGTGGAGCACGTGGTCAGGGGTCTGGCACGTGGTGTGGGGTCTGAGCAGGGGTCAGGCACTGACCTGCTGATGATGCGGTAGTAGTTCCAGCTCCAGCTGTGCAGACAGTGGGCTGGGGGGATGTGCCCGATGATGTGCACCTGTGGGCAGGGAGCCAGGGCTGGGGGCTTGCCCAGGGCCCACCGGGACCCCCCATGGCCCCTCAGAACCCCCCCACACCTTCTCCCCATCACGCTCAGCATCTGCCAGGACCCCCATGAGCCACTGGAGCTGCCCTGCAGGGTCAGTGGCGTTGATGAGAAGCCAGAAGTTGGCCTGGGAGCAGAAGTTCATGTTGAGGGAGACGAGGCGCAGACCAGGCCAGACCTGTGCCGTGTAGAACCCTCCAGCCCTGTGTGGAAAAGGGAGATCAGTGCTGTATCCCCTGAGCCACAGACCCTGCACCCATTCCACGGACCCCCAGCTCTCTGCCACCTGCTCTGCCCACCCTCCTACAGCCCCCATCTGGGAGCCCCTGTTACCCCACAGCCCTCTCTTTACCCCAGCCAGCCATGACCCCCCTCCTTACACCTCTCCGCCCCATGAAGCTGAGCCATCTGCACCCGGCCCCAGCGAGCCTGGAACCCCCACTGCCCCTCCAGCATGGAGACCATGCTGTCTCCTGCTAGTCCTGCGCCCCCAGTAGCCCCGAGTCCCCTGCTCTGAGCCTCAAGTCTGTGCTGCTGCAGCGCCCAGAACAGCTGACAGCCCAGAGCCCCGCAGCCTGCCAGCCCTGTGTCCCCTGATCCCTGGTACCCCAAAAGCCACAGACCGAGGACCCCCGCCCCTGTGCCCTCCTGCCCCCACAGCCCCTGAGCGGATGGAGCCCTTCCTGGCCCCGTGCCCACCGCAGGGTGTGCAGGGCGGCGGGGGGCAGCCAGGGCTGCCAGGCCTCGGCCATGGCGTCGTACAGCCACGCGGCCGAGCGGTTGCCCCGCACGTAGGGCGGCGGGAAGGCGTTCACCGGTGTGGCCTCGTGGTTGCCCACGGCGGGGAAGACGCGCAGCCCGCCGAGGCGGGCGCGCAGCAGGGCCGTCACGGTGCGCAGCGCCCGCAGCTGGTCCCCGCGGCTCTGCTGCCACACGTCGTGCGCGGGGATGTCCCCGGTCCAGTACGCTGCCGCGAAGCCGCCGGTGCCGTTCCCGGTGCCGTTGGGGAGCTGGGCCAGCAGCGAGTCGATGGTGTGCAGGGGAAGGTCACACTTGCTGTAGGAGCCCCAGAAGCCCGCCGCCCCCGGCCCCTCGCGGGGCGCCCCGCGGCAGCACAGCGGGTCGGGGCAGGCCGCGGCGCTGCCCGGCACGTACTGACGGTCCCAGTGCAGGTCCGTGAGGAAGAGGATGCGGGCCGTGGGCGCTCCGGGCGGCGGCGGCGCGGGCGGCCGCACCGGCGGCTTGGGGGCAGCGGGCAGGGACAGGTTCCAGGCGCCCAGGATGTCCCAGTGGCCGCAGCGGGGGCCCAGCAGCAGCCCGCAGGCCTCGGGCGGGCGCAGCACGGAGCGCGCCCAGGCGGCCACCACGTCTCCTTGGAAGAGCTGCACGGCCTGGCGGCACACGGGCGGCCGCGCCAGCCGCAGCTCCTGGCACAGCCGCGACGCCACGCGCCCCACGCGGGCCACGTTCGGCTCCAGCTGCGGGGGGATGGACACTGGCATGGTCCCGGCACCCCACACCTCCTGGCACCCCCGCTGCCCTCCACCCACCAGCTGCCCAGGACAACCCCTGCACGCTGAGCTCAGCTGCTGTCACTGGCCTGTGCCCGTCGGCACCGCCGGCACGGGCACGGCTACCCCGGGAGGGGCACGGCACCGCCCGGGAGGGGCACGGCACCGCCCGGCTCCTGTCACTGTCCCACACCTGCCGGCCACCCCAGACCGCTCAGCTGGATATCCCGAGGCCAGAAGGGACCCACACGATCCTCCAGCCCCTCCGTTCCCCTGCTCGGTGCCCTCCTCCTTCCCTTCCCGTCCCCGCCCCAGCCTGTCCCCGTTCCTGTTCCTGTCCCAGCCCGTCCCCGTTCCCCCGAGCGGAGCCGCTGGCACGGCCCCGCCCGTCCCCGCCTCCGTCCCCGCTGCTCTTTCAGCCGTCCCAGCTTGTCCCCGCCCGTCCCGATCCCGACCCGTCCCTGTCCCCATTCCCAAGCCGGTCTCGTGCCTGTCACAAGCCCCGACCTGCCCCGGCCCGTCACGAGGGACCGGCCCGGCCTGTCCCGTCCTGTCCCCTCTGTCCCTGTCCTGTCCCCCATGTCCCCGTTCCTGTCCCAATCCTGTCGCCCCCGCTCTTCCCGTCCTGGTGTCCATCCCTGTGTCTCGCCCGGTGTTCCAGCGTCCCCCCGGTGCAACCCGGTGTCCCGGCGGTCCCCGATCTCCCGTGCCCACCTGCAGCGCCAGGTCCAGTGCCCCGAACAGCACCCGGCAGGCCGGGCACGACACGTTCTGCCAGCCCCAGCGCGGCGCCGCCGCCACCACCAACTGCTCCTCGGGGCCGGGCGGCAACCCCGCCGCCACCGGCAGCGCCAGCAGCACCAGCGCGGCCAGGACCAGCGGCAGCGGCGGCAGCGGCGGCAGCGGCGGCAGCGGTGCCAGCGGTGCCAGCGGGGCCAGCGGGGCCCGAGCCCCGGCCGCCATGGCCGAGCGAGGGCGGGGCCGGCTCGGGGGCGGGGCCGGGCGGCGCCATTTATGGGCGAGGGGCGGGGCAAGGCCGCAGAGTGGGCGGGGCCAACGTCGGGCGGGGCTGCGGGCCCGCCCCCGGCGCCATGGCCGAGAGCGGCGGGGGCGCGACCAATGTCGCGCGGCTGGGGCGTGGCCACCCGGGGCGGGAAGCCGTATGCAAATGAAGGAGCCGGTCCGACGTTCGAGCGCGGGGCAAGATGGGAGATGGAGTCCTGGGGCGGCCGGGGTCCCCGGGGTCCCCCTCCCCTGGGGTCCCCCTCCCCTGGGGCGCACGGTCAGCCCCTTGGGCCGGCTTCGGGTGCGCCGGGCCCGGGGTCCATCCCCCCAGCTGCCGCCGCCGCCGGGCTCAGCAGTTCCCAGCCCGCAGCCCCCCGATCCCCGCGCGGCGCCGGCCCCACGTCCCGCCCGGAGCTGCCCCGCGGAGCCTCCGTGCCGGCGGGGCAGGAGCGCTGGGAGCAGCGGCGCAGGTGGGCACGGGGTCAGTTTATTGTGATCGTAGCCGGGGAGCAGCGGGGGAGACCCCTGGGCTGGGGGTTCCTCCACCTCCCTCAGCCTCCGACCCGCCCGGCCCCAAGGCTCCTCCCGCCCGCCCCTCGCCCCCGCCCAGCCGGGGCTCGGGGCCACTGGGATTGAGCGGGGGATGCTGGGCGAGGGCAGGCGGCTGGGGGTGCACCGGAGTGGGGCACGGGGATGCTGGCAGGGCAGGGGTTCATGCTTGGGGGGTCCTGCTGGGGGTGTCCAGCTCGGGGGGGGAGGCAGGCACTGCTGTTAGGGGGCCTAAGGGGGGCTAGTTCAGGGGTCCCAGGCTGCTGAGGATGGTGTAGCTGAACTTGGAGAGAAAGGTGTTGGCCATGGGGGCTGGTGGGGGTCCAGCTGGCGTGGGCCCCAGGCACTGGTGTTGGAGGGCTCGGGGGGCTCCAGCTCGGGGGTGCCGGCTCAGGGGGGTCCCAGGCTGCTGACAGTGGTGTAGCTGAACTTGGAGAGTGAGGCACTGGCCATGGGGGGCTCGTCCTCGGGCGGGCGGCGGGGGCAGGCGCGGCGGCACCCCCAGCCCGCACAGGTGGCCCCGAAGGCCTTGCGGAAGCGGCGGTTCATGAAGCAGTAGATGAGGGGGTTGGCGCAGGCTGAGGTGTAGGACAGCAGGTGGATGAAGGCGATGGGTGTGCCCGAGAGCGCCCGCTGGGCTGCCCGCGGGGCAAAGGCACGCCAGGTGTTGGCGGTGAAGATGGGCAGCCAGCAGAGGAAGAACATGGCCACGATGACCACCAGCATGCGGATCACGCGCCGCTTGGCCGCCAGCTGGGCCCCCGAGCTGTTGATGCGGGCCCGGTCCTGCTGCGCTGCCCCCAGCGCCCGCAGCTCCAGCGCTGCACCCGGACGGGACAGCTGCAGGTAGCACCCGTCACCCTCATCGCAGGCGGGCGCTGGGTCCCCCCCAGTGCCACGCTGGGCTGTGGAGTGAGGAGGCATGGTCACGGCCATGGCACCAGGAACACGCTACACCCCAACACCGCGGGAGCACCCTCCAGGAGGATGGGATGGGGACATGGAGATGGCAATGGCACCATGGGGACATGCTGCATCCCACGGCTACAAGGAGGTCCCCAGGAAAGGGGGATGTCCCTGAGGAGCACACCGCTGTGGGAGCAGGGGTGAGGGCTCAGCCGTGCCTCCCCTGCTAGGGTGGGCACTCTTCCCACAGAGGAGTCACCCCCGGCATCACCCCCGCCCCATCCCCTCACCTGCCACCTCCCTCTTGACGTCCAGCTCAAAGCGGATGCCGCGGTAGAGCTCGCGGGAGATGAGCCCGTACGCCACCGTCATCACCACGCCCGGGATGAAGAAGAGCACAAGGAGCAGCAGGACGTACCTGGGACAGGTGTTCCCGGTCACTCGGCATCCCCGGAGGCCCGTGCTCCCCCTCCCTCGCCGGGACTCACCAGGCCTGCCGGACGCGCTCGCTGGGCCAGTGGTGCGTGCACTGCGCGGGGGTCGGGCGGGGGGCCGCGGGCCGCGTGGTGCTGTACACGGCGTAGGGCAGCATCAGCAGCGCTGCCAGCGCCCAGGTGCCCGCGATGACGCGGCACGCGTGGGACCGCGTCTGCCAGGCGCGCGACTGCAGCGGGTTGCAGATGGCACTGTAGCGTTCGATGGCGATGGCCACCAGGCTGAAGGTGGACACGGCCACCGAGACCCCTGCGGGTGGCGGGGGGCACCAGTGGGCATGGCGTGACGCTGCAGTCCCCCGCCTCCTCCCGAAGCCCCCCCGCTGTATTCCGTGCACCCGAGGTAGGGATAACCCCCCGCGTATCCACGGGGGACGGACGAGCCCCCTCCCCGTGCCCCGGGTACCGACAAGGCAGGGATGAGGCCCCCGCGCCGTGCCCCACCCCACCCATGGGGGAGGCACAAGCCCCCGCCCTGCCACACCCTACCCATGAGGTATGCGACGAGCTTGCAGACCACGTCGCCGAAGATGAAGGCGCCCATGAGGCCGGGCAGCAGGGTGAAGGGCATGCAGCACAGCGCCAGGAGCAGGTCACTCAGGGCCAGCGACAGCAGGAAGCAGTTGGTGACGGTGCGCAGCCGCCGGTTCAGCGCCAGCACGGCCACCACCAGCGCGTTGCCCCCGACGCTCAGCACGAAGATCAGCACGTATAGCACCACGCGCACCGCCACGTCCAGCTCTGCGGGCAGCGGGGCACGGCGCTGCATTGGCACCCCGGGTGCGCCCCAGAGGCGCCCGGGGGGCACCCCGGGTGCACCCCAGAGACACTCTGAAAGCACTCCCGAGGCCACCACAGAGCCTCTCCCACGGCACCCCGAGGGTAGCCCGGTGCCCCCCAGACACGCTCTGAAGGCGCCCCAAAGGCGCCCCAGCACAGGCCCAGGCACTGGGACACCGGGGCTCCGACATGACCGGCGGAGCTCGGTGGAGACCCATCAGATGAGTGCATCGTTTCCCCCCGTGTGGCAGCCGCCGGGATTTGGGGTGAACCCCGCCGTCCTCATCTTAATTCCTTAAGGCTGAGGGACCCTTATCCAGGTGGGCGCTCCCATACTGCCCCCCCTCCGCCTCGGTGCTCCCCGGGCGGCGCGGGGACCGGGGACGTCCTGCCCGGAGAGCGGAGTGAGAAGCCGGAGCAGGGGCCCCAGCCGGGGGCTGGGATGGGATTAGGGCTCTTGGTTCTGGTGGAGGGTGGGATGGGGGTGTGCCAGCCGAGGGTCCAGCTGGAGGTCCCAGCCCCGGCAGTGGGGACTGTCTGTGTCCGTGGCGTCCCTTCGGAGTCCCCTCCACCCTCCTGCTGCCACCGGCACAGCCCGCCGTGTTCCCCCAGGCAGCGCCGAGATCCGCATCGGAATCCCTGGGCAGTGCCGGGGCCCCCGAGCCCGCGGCCGGGGCGCGGGGACCGGGGATGGCGGGTGTGATGAGGGGCACGGCGGGGAACGGGAGCGGCGGCGGTCGGGGAGCGGCAGAACCGGAGCGCAGGGCGGCGGGCACCGGGGTGGCACGGCGGGACGAAGCGGGCTGCCGGCGTGCCGGGGAACGCAGGGCCGGGCACGAAGCGGGGGTTCCTTCCCGGGTGCATCCCGCTCCTTCCCGCGCCCCCGCTCTCACCTCTGGGCGCCGGGGGCCCGCGGAGGCCCCTGCGGAGGAGGTCGCAGACCGAGCCGTTGGTGCCGTTGCCGGTGCCGGGTCCGTTCCCGGTGCCGTTCCCGGAGCGGCAGAGCATCTCCTGTAGCGACTCGTTGAGAGGCCGGGGGTCCATGGCGGGGACCCCCCCGCCTGCCCCCGCCCCTCCTCCGGCAGGAGGCACCGGGAAGGATCAGGCACCGGCAGCCTCCGGGAGGGACGAGGCTCCGATCTGCTCGGAGCCGCCGGTGGATAAGCGGGGGCGGCGCCCGGCGCGGGGCGGGCCGGGGGCGGGGGGCGGTGGCGGCGGCGGGGGGGCCCGGGGGGTGCCGGGGGGCGCGGGGGAGGCGGGAACGGGGGAAGCCCGGGGCGGTGGGGACGGGCGGAGCCACGGAGAGCACCGGGAGCGGGGCTCGGGGAGTACCGGGCTGCAGCCGGAGTCCCGGGCGGGCCGGGCAGCCTGTGGGGCTCGCCGGGAGCGCTCTTGAGGCACCGGGCGACGGCGACGGCCGTCACCGCGATGTCTGTCACCGCGCCCGTGCGGCTGCCCCGGGACGGCCCGGCGGGGCTGGGGGTCCCGAGCTGGCTCCGAAACTCCGTGACCCTGACCCGTCCCCATCCCGGCTCCTTCCTCGTCCCTGTCCCCGTCCCGCAGCAGCAGCTGTCGGTGTCACCCGACAACAGTGGTCGCTGCGGCGTCCCCATCCAGGACACCCCTCAGGACTAGTCCCGCGGCACCCCCGCCCCTCGTGGGACCCCGAGCCCCTGAGCCCCGGAGACACCATGCGCTCCCATGGGTCTCTGTGACCCAGAGGGACCCCGTGCCCTGGGCAGAGCCCGTGCCCTGCTGGGACCATGTGTGCCACTGGGACCCCGCACCCCAGTCTGCCTCTGTGCCCTGGGCAGCGCCTGTGCCCGGAGGGGACCCTGTGCCTCGAGGGGAGCCTCTGCCCGCCTGGGGCCATGCATGCCACGAGGACCTCGTGCCCCAGTGTGACCCCGTGCCCCGAGGGGCCGCTGCACTGTGGGGGTATCGTGTGCTTTGGGAGGACCTTGCATGTCGCTGGGCCCCTGTGCTCTATGGGGACTGAGTGCCGTGTGGGGCCCCTGTGTTTTGGAGGGGCCCTGCGCCCCAGTGGGACCCTGTCCACCTGCAGAACCTGGTTCCCGGGCAGGACCCTGTGCCCTGGGGGCACCCTGCACCTTGGAGGGACCCTGCTCCCGCAGGGGACCGTGTGCCCTGAGGACAGCCTGTGCCTTGGTAGAAGCCTGCACTCTGGAGGGGCTCTGTTCCCCGGTAGCACCCCGTGGGCTGGCGGGCCGCTGTCGTGGGGCCGTTCCTGCCGTTCCTGCCGTTCCTGCTGCCCCGTCCTCCCGCTCTGCTCTGCCCCGCAGCTGCAGCCGTCCCTCGAGGCGCCGGACGCGCAGGGCCGCGCGCAGGGCACCGGCCTCCAGCTGTGCCAGCAGCCGTGCTGCCCGCGTCTGGAGCCCCTCCAGGGCCACCTCCAGCCCCTGCAGCCGCCGCTCCGCCTCGGCCTCGGCCGCCAGTGCCGCCGCCTCAGCTCCGGTGTCGAGTTGGCCCATGCACAGCAGCAGCTCCCGGCCCTTGGCTTCCATGGCAGCACGGGCACAGGGGAACTCGGCCAGCACCTCGGCCAGGTCCTCCTTGCCCAGGCAGAACAGGTCCGAGTACCCGATGCTCAGGATGTTGGCCGTGCGCCGGTTCCCTGCCATGTTGCCTGTGGGGCAGGGGGCCGTGAGTCCGGGGGGGTCACGGGGCAGAATCGGGGCGCAGCGTGGAGCTCACCCTTGATGTTGATGAGGCTGATCTCCCCGAAGTAGAGCCCCTCGCCCAGCACGGCCAGCTGCGTGACGCCGTCCTCGGCCACCACGGCCAGGCGGCCCTCGCGGATGAAGTACATCTCGCGGCCCACGTCCCCGCGCCGGCACACGAACTCGCCGGGCCCAAAGACCTGCGGTCGCAGGCGCAGCACCAGCTGCCGCAGCACGCCGTGCTCCCAGCTGCGGAACAGCCCCACGCGCCGCAGGGCTGCCAGGTGCACGCTGGCGGCCACCTCAGCCTGCAGCCCCTGCGGCAGGTGCTGCAGCACTTCCCACTCGGCCGGCAGCTTGCGCTGCGCCCGCAGGTGCTGGTGCCAGCGCGCCACGCGCCCCGCCAGCCGCCCGTCCACGCCCCTCGCCCGCAGGTAGCGCCGCACCGGCCCCGCGTCGGGGTAGAAGGCGGAGGCGGCCGAGCTGAGGTTGACGATGACGGTGCTGATGCTGCCGGTGATGGTGGCGAAGCCCAGCACGGCCAGGAGGAAGCCGGCGGTGAGGAAGAGGAACTCCTCCTCGCGCTGCGGTGCCGGCGTGTCTCCCACCATGGCCAGGACCAGCGTGGAGAAGTAGAAGCTGTGCAGGTAGCGGTGCAGCGGTCGGGTGAAGCTGGGGCAGACCCAGGGGTCAGCACCCAGCCCCAGGCGTGCCGACAGCGCGAAGTAGAGGCAGCCGTGCCAGTGGATGCCCAGCAGCAGGTACAGCATCAGCTTGGCCACGCGGAACACGTTGGGCCGGCCCGTGCGCGTCTCGCACCGGTCAAAGGCCTCGAAGAGTCGCGGCAGCCGTAGGCAGCGGTTGGCACGTGCCGCCGGCACCCCCGTGACCCTCGGGACCCCTGGGAGCAGACAGAGCAGCTCGGTGGGCAGCACGGCCAGCACATCCCAAGGGAAGGTCCAGGAGCCCAGATAGCGCCGCCGTGTCCGCCTGACGTCCCGCACCAGGATCCCGTCCTCCAGGAAACCTGAGTGGGCAGCCAGGGCAGCCATGGACTGCAGGGCATCCATGCCTGGAGGGGCAGGAGCTGCTCACCTCCCTGTGTGGCAGAGGGCTCGCAGCAGAGAGCGTGCAGGTGCCCAGCGTGGGGCACAGGAGCCCTGGATGGGCACCCTGGGGGTGGCACTGGGGCTCCCTGGGCTGCCATGGGGCTGAGGGGGTGAATGGCAGGTGCTGGGACTTGAGACCACCCACCCAGACATCCTCTGTGTGGGGCTGGGTGGTGTCTGTACGGGGTGAGAGTGCACATGTGTGTGTGTGCATCTGCACACCTGTACACATACATGCTTGCATATATGTGTGTGTGTATGTACACACCTGCACATGTGTGTACACATATGTACATCTGTGTCTGTGTCTTGTGTACCTGTGTGTCTCTGTGTGTGTGTGTACACGCCTGTGTGTATGTGTGTCTGTGTGTCTGTGTGTACCTGTGTGTGTGTGTGTGTGTCCATGTCTGTGTGTGTACACACCTGTGTGGAGGTGCACGGCCATGTCCAGCAGGTACAGCGCGTCGCTGAGCCCGTCCAGGGCCTGCCACAGCCCCGCGTGTGCCTCCTGCACCTCGGAGAAGCAGCACCTGGAGTACAAGTGGCATCACGAGGCATCACTGGGACGGGGCCAGGACACCCCACGCCCTCCCCCAACCCTCCTGCCTGGCACCTGAGGATGAGGACGACCCAGTTGTAAAGGATGGGCAGCACCATGAGGCTGATCCACCGGTAGTGCCAGTCCCCGGCGGGGTCCAGGCTCCAGTTCCGGGGGGCAGCAGTGCACCTGGGGGTGCAGAGGCACCTGGGCTCACCCGTCCCCGTTTGGGATGCCTCTGCCCCCGCTCAGCCCCGGCTGCCAGCGGTTCTAAGGCTGGGCCAGTGCCCCAGCAGCTGTGGGACGGAGGGTCCCTGCGGTGCCCCTACCCCGCCCCGCCGGAGGCAGCCGCGCCCCGCTTACCCCGTGGAACGTCCGGTGCTGCTGCCGGGCCTGGCTGTGGCCATGGCTCCAGAGGTGCCGCTGCGCTGGAGCCCGGCCCGGCGGCGGGACGGGAGGGAGCCGAGGGTCCCGGTGGGATCCTTCAGAGCGGGGATCCCGCGCGTCCCGGTGGCCGGGGGTCCTGCGCACCTGAGCGCCTGCCAGGCGCTGCCGCCTGCCCCGGTGCCGGGCGTGGTTCCTCACGGGGACCCAGCCACGCTCCTGCGACACCGGCGTGTCCTAGCAACGAGGGGTCCCCAGGGTACCCACTGGCCCCCGGGACACCTGGGCTGACACAGCCACCGTGCCAGGTCCGCCGGGCACGCCGGGGCACGGAGCCGTGGCCATGTGTGCCGGGGCTCAGGTGAGCCTCCAGGAACAGCCGCCGGTGCCAGGCGGTGCCCGTGCAGAGGCGGCGGCAGCTCCCAGCGCCCGGTACGGGGCTGCCTGGCACAGGGTGCTCGGTACAAGGTTACCTGGCACAAGGGTGCCCAGGGCCAGGGAGGGCCCGTTTCTGGGGTTCTGGGCGTTCCCGGTACCGGGGTGCCCGATTCTGAGGTGTTCAGTTCCGGGAAGTGCAGTGTGCAGGGGCTATTCGGTGCAGGGTTACCCGGTACTAGGGTGGGCACTTGCAGGGGGTCCCAGTACAGGGGTGGCTGGGCCAGCGGGATGCCCAGCTCCGAGCGGTGCCCGTGCTGGGTTCTCGGTTCCGGAGTGCCAGCACCTTGGTACCGGGTTACCTCTGCCGGGCTGTCCCGGTGCCGGGGTGTCTAGTACCGCGGGGTCCCGGTACCGCCGTGCCCCAGTACTGCGGTGTCCCGGTACCGCAGGGTCCCGGCACCGGGCTGTCCCTGTGCTGGGGTGTCTTGGTGCCGCGGTGTCCCGGTACCGCGGTGTCCTGGTGGTGCCGGGCTGTCCCTGTGACGGGGTGTCCCGGCGCTGGGCTGTCCCTGTGCTGGGGTGTCTCGGTGCCGCGGTGTCCCGGTACCGCGGTCTCCCGGTGGTGCCGGGCTGTCCCGGTGTCCCGGTGCCGCCTGTCTCGGTACCGCCTGTCCCGGTGCTGGGCTGTCCCGGTGTCCCGGTGCCGGGCTGTCCCGGTGTCCCGGTGCCGGGCTGTCCCGGTATCCTGGTGCTGGGCTGTCCCAGTGCCGGGCTGTCCCGGTTCCTGGTGTCCCGGTGTCCCGGTGTCCCGGTGTCCCAGAGCCGGGCTGTCCCTGTGCCAGGCTGTCCCGGTGTCCCGGTGGTGCCGGGCTGTCCCGGTGTCCTGGTGTCCCGGTGCCGGGCTGTCTTAGTGTCCCGATGTCCCGGTGTCCCGGTGGTGCCGGGCTGTCCCGGTGTCCTGGTGTCCCGGTGCCGGGCTGTCTTAGTGTCCCAATGTCCCGGTGTCCCGGTGCCGGGCTGTCCCGGTGGTGCCGGGCTGTCCCGGTGTCCCTGTGGTGCCGGGCTGTCCCGGTGTCCCGGTGTCCCGGTGTCCCGGTGCCGGGCTGTCCCGGTGCCGGGCTGTCTTGGTGTCCCGGTGTCCCGGTGTCCCGGTGCCGGGCTGTCCCGGTGTCCCGGTTCCCGGTGTCCCGGTGTCCCGGTGTCCCGGTGCCGGGCTGTCCCGGTGTCCCGGTGTCCCGGTGTCCCGGTGTCCCGGTGTCCCGGTGCCGGGCTGTCCCGGTGCCGGGCTGTCTTGGTGTCCCGGTGTCCCGGTGTTCCGGTGCCGGGCTGTCCCGGTGCCGGGCTGTCCCGGTGTCCCTGTGGTGCCGGGCTGTCCCGGTGTCCCGGTGTCCCGGTGCCGGGCTGTCCCGGTGGTGCCGTGCTGTCCCGGTGCCGGGCTGTCCCGGGTCCCGGGTCCCGGGTCCCACGCGCCCCGGCCCCGCCCCACTCAGGGCCTAGCCAATGAGCGCTCGGGCTTTCTCGGCGAGGCCACGCCCACCAGTGGTGTGGGCGTGTCCCCGTGCCGCGGGGGCGTGGCCCAGCGGCGGTGGGCGTGGCCCGCGCGCGCGGTGCGTCGGGCGCGGCGGGAAGATGGCGCCGGCGGAGCGGGGCCCGTGGCGGGGGCGGGCGGTGAGCGCGGCACCGGGGCGGCACCGGGAGTGGCCGGGGAGCGGCCGGGGGCGCCGGAACACCGGCAATAGGGACCCCGCCAGCGGGGACAGCGGAAGTGGGGCGTGCGTGGAGCGGGCGCGCCTCGGGGCAGGTCCGCCCGCCCTTGTGCCGCGACGCTGGGGCGCCCGGGCCGCCGCCCGCCCTTGGCCCGCGGGGCCGGAGGCACCGGCCCGGCCCCGGCGGTGTCCGGGGCGAGAGCGGCGGGGGCGGGCCCGAGCGGGCCGCAGTGCCGCGGAGCGAGGGCCCCGTCCCGCTGAGGCCCCCGGGGTCCCGGGGGTCCCGGCCCGCGTCCGACGCCTCCTCTGCCCTCCTCAGGTGCGGCGCTGACGGGACGGGACCGCCGCGACCTTGACCCAGGTAGGGCCCGGCCCCGCGGCATCCGAGGGCCCCGGTTCTGCGTGACCCCGGAGCCTGAGGGCGTCCCGGTGTCTCCATGGCTCCGGGCCTGAGGATGCCCAAGTGAGCAGCACCTCCCGCGAGCCGGGGGACCGCGGCCCTGGGCTGTGACAGCCTCTCGCCTCACCCAGACCACCGGGGCCTACCGGCGACCACCCTGGCGACCCCTCGGTGACCCCCACACGGTGCTTCGGTTCCCGCGTGCATTGGAGGGGCCGGTGCTCGTCACCCACAGCCTCCTGGCACTGGGTGCCATCCTCTGCCCGTGGAGGCCATGCCCCGGGGTCCCTGTCCTTGCCCTGCTGGCACCTGGTGTCCCCGTGCCCTCGGTGTCCCTGCCTGCAGTGTGGCTTTCCCTGGTCTGGTGGCACCTGATCACGCCCCAGTGCTCAGCTACTTGCTGCCCGGGCGGAGGGTGCTCCGCCACTGCAGCCCCTCTGGGTGACACTGGGGTGGTGCACAGCCCCGTGCTGTGCCCCCGTGGCTGGGTCCTTTGGCATGGGACAGGCACAGCCAGGTTGGGGTGAGGGGGCACTGGTGCCAGGACAGCAGTGGTGACAGCTGGTGTCCCTGTCCCACCAACATGGCTCTGGCCGTGTGTCACACGGGTCCCTGCTCTATGCGTCCCGGTGTGCCACACTGGGGCCTTTGGTTCCTGCTGCTGGGGCCGCAGTGCTGGGTGGCAGGGCTGGCACTGCCCCGGCATTCAGTGGTGCTAACTTTAGCAGCCACACGAGCGCTGGCTGTGGGTGGGATGGGCTGAGCCGGGTATAAATAGACAGGCCCTGCCCGTGCTGTGTCCCACTGCCCTAGCTTCAGCCACTTTCCCTTCCTGTGCCTGTGGTTTGGGGTGTCTTTAATGGCACTTCCACTTCCCCAATTGCTTGCAAGGGCTGTGGCACTGGCTCTCAGAGCCACTGCCCTCCCGACATGCTGGTGGGGCACTGGGGGGCCCCTGCGGTGTCTCTCTGTCCCCAGGCACAGCGGTGCTGCCAGCTCTGGGGCCTTTGTGCTCAGTGCTACACTGGTGCCTGTAGTGGCAGTGCTGGTGCTAGGGCACGGGGCCCTAAAAATATCCTGGCAGCACTGTCGTGCTGCACTGGCCATGGGTGCTGCTGGGCATGGGGGTGGGCAGCTGTCCCAGCTGTCCCGGTGTCCTGTGGCTGCTGGGCACTCCCCACACCCATGCTGGGCCAGTTCCTGGTATAAAGTCCAGTACTGGGTGTGAGCAGGGCTGGGATCCAGAGTCCTCCAGCCAACACTGCTCTGGCATGCTTGCCTGGCCCAGTTCCCTCTGCTCTGGCTCTTCTGCCTGCCTTTCCTCTTGATAGCCATTTTTTCCTCCTGACCTTCTTCCTTCCTGGCTTCCCTGCTCCTTTCCCTTCTACCTCCCTCCCTGCTGCTGGTGGTGAGGTTGGGCCGGGGGTCTCTGATGGCCCCTCTCCCTGCAGCCTGCTGGCAGCAGCATGGAGAGAGGACCCTGGCATCCTGCCCGCTCCCCTGTGCCCCCACGGTGGTGCCAGGCCGCATCCAGCCCGGCTGGTGTGCCGCGGTG